CTCAACACGGTTTCAACCGGGAAATCCCACTCCCGTTAATTTTGACCATCAAGAATAATATCGATAGCAATTCCATGAAGTTGCGGCATGATTTGACAAACACGTAATAATAAGCCGCGACGAAGTATGAACGAAAATGCTGCGATGAGCAACGTTGGGGCACACGATAGGCGAGTGACAACAACAAAAAAAAAAAAAGAAATCGACGACGGCCGAGACAGATTAGAGTACAAAAACCCTAACCCCGAAGAATGACGGATCTAAAAATGCACAAAACGAACACCAACACATCCCGAAACGCAAAACAAAGAACACTGGTAGCACGAGCATCAAATTCCGAGTTCACGGATGGTCGCCGAAAAAAACTCCGGCCAGCCACGCGCCCTCACGCGCCGGCGCGTGAGATTGACGGCAGTAACTTCTGCCGGCGCGTGTGACTCACACGCGCGGCTTCCGACAGCCAAACTTTGCCGGAAGGACGGTCTCGAGGCGCCGATTTTAGTGGTGTGGGAGGTGAGATAAAAAAATATATATATATTTATGTGTAAGTCTCTGATACCATGTTACAAACCTTAGGGTTTTGGACAAAAGAATAATCTCACAAGAAAGGATACACCATATATATAGACTTAGGGCTACAATATATGGGTTGGGCTTATAATACTTCACAACACGTGGTGTGCTCATGTTGCTTATACACCTTTATGTATAGACATACGTAGAGAGAGGTTTAACATGTAAATGCCCTCCTAAAATTTTAGTAAAAAACAGTAGCAATTACTTATTCCTGTTTTCTTTTAGTTATTTTCCACATAAAAAATGTGTGTGACATTTATTATGTTATTCATCGTGGATATTATTAGAATATTCATTTGTGGATTGACCTACATCATTTATATATGGAAAATAGGCTTAATTTATAAGTCTAATGAGATACTCCTCCTACTACCAATTGATTTTGGGATGGAACCTCACTTGGGGTTCATCTGGGCTTTCCATGTCTTTGGTGCGCTTCATCTGCGTGGGACCGCATCCGTTTTTCTCCCCTTTTCTTACATGGTATCAGAGCCGGTTCTATTGAGGATCGTGCTATAACGTACCCGTTTACCCAGCCTGTTTCTAGTAGGGCTTGGGCACCCGACTCCGTATATGGGCTTGGGCTTCTTATGAAGGACTCATAAGTGAGGGGACATATTAGAATATTCACAAGTTGTCCAACATCGTTTATAAAAATAGGCTTAATTTATAAGTGTAATGGGCTGCTCCTCCTACCACCAATTGGTTTTGGGATGGAACCTCACTTGGGCTTCATCTGCGTGGGACTGCATCCGTTTCCCAGGAGATTATCGGAGAAATATAAAAAAGAGAAGTTGAGATTGGATGCACAGATTTTGAGCAGTGTGTCGGTTGTTGGCTTTCTGTGAATGCATTTCTATTATTTGAACTAAAATTCACATTTTTGAGTGCAGCTTTGCCATTGCATTTTATGGGAGCTCAACTCAGCCTCATTTGGTGGCTTTAGTTGCCCAAGTAAGTTGTTTTTTCCATAAATTATTTTTCTGCATTTTAATCATGTTTTACAAAGTCCGAACTAATCCAGAGAACATATCCATATTTCATAATGCCGAATACACATTTTGCTTGAGTATTTCACCTGAACAAAATTTGTCGTCTTACTGACTTACCAGGTTCCGTTGATCAAATTTTTTTTTTTTCTCAATACTTTGAGTAAATTTGCGAAATATAATGCGCTTCTGTCATTCTTATGTATAAACATGCAAAATGTTATTCCATGTATGTTGATTATTCTCTAGAAATTATTCAATTAATCACTCAATACGTTTCCCTGCTCCAAACTATTATATCAGAAGAGCTTTTGGTAAATTTTTTTATATGATTTTGAATCTGGAATGTTTCTATTTTTATGGTGTACTGTAGAGAAGCCTGGTGTGGAAACAGAAGGATACCAAATTCTAAAAACTATTTGCAAAGCAGATAAAAAGTAATCTGATTAAGTGAGGTATTTGCAAACAATAATTGAGAGACTTCGTAGCAGACATCGTTGTTTTGTTCTGTGTTGGGCCATTCATAAAGAACATTATCCCTCTTCATTTTCGGTTATCACATTGTGTCCCGTATCAGGTAACTTCATGAAAGATTATCTGAAACTGTTGTCTTGGGTGGTGATTTTCATTTATGTTTTTGTTTTTATTTGAATTGTACTGGTAATCTAATTCACTAGCCAAAACATCTCATTTAGTGACCGAACGAAGATAACCCAGGAAGTTTGCTAGAATTATATTCATTGATCATAATGATTAAACCTGCACCATTAAATTTGTTTGTAATTTCTGAATGACAGGATGAGATTGTTAGCTCAAGGGGTCAGATCGAGCCACCTGGAATGCATATGATATATCTTCCATATTCTGATGACATCAGACCCATTGAAGAGGTAAATTTAGTTCATTTCTTTGACCTGGTAGCGTTACTTTGTTGAACAGGCAAGCATTAAGAACTATATGGTGTTTTTTTTTAGCTTCACATCGATACGAATCCTACGGCACATCAAGCATCTGAAGACCAAATAAAGAGTGCTTCTTCATTGGTTAAATTTGTTGATCTGAAAAACTTTTCAGTATGCCAATTTGCTAACCCTGGTGAGTTCCACATCTGTTTTGAATGCAACATCAATTATAAATGAAGAATTAGTTTCTCTTCCAATGCAATAATATTTCACTCTACAGTGAAATCCATAATATCTCTTTACATAGGTAGTATTTTCATGTTTACATTAGCCACTTCCTGAATCCCAAAAGATCTGTTAAAAATTAAACACCTATAATACGAGGGTCAAATCTTGGTTGATGCTGCATAACAATGTTGTTGAGTTTTCATGAAACATGGGCTCTCTTACTTTAGGGTTAATTACAAAGAGGACCTCTGAGGTTGATTCATGTTACATTTTGGCCCATCTGTTGGTTGACCTCAAAATTCAGATGATGCGATTTAAATGGGCTTAGATTCCTGTTATAACCTTCCAGATGTGAAAGGGACATTAAAGTACACATGGGATTGGTGTTGTTTAACTTTAAATTTAAGGCAGTAATTGCTATGACAATTCTGTATGTTTCATCAACTTTTTATTCAAAACTTAGTAACTATCATGTTGTCTTGAGATTTAACTTTTTTAATAGTAAATGGGCTTCGGTAGAACTCATCCCCAAAAGCTAGCTCAAAAAGGAGATGATGCCCAACCCACATTTATACATGATGATAGCCCAATAGCTAGACAAATATAACTTTTAACACCTGCCCTCACGCACAGCGTGCCAAACCAAATGGGTCAGGTTCAAACCTAACGTTGCCTCCAAACAAACAAAACTTGGGTGCTCTGATACCATGATAAATGGGCTTGGGTAGAATTCATCCCCAAATCTTGCTCAAAAGGAGAGGATGTCCAACCCATATTTGTAACAATAGTTGCCCAATAACTAGTTGATGTGGGACAAGCATAACTTCTAACAACTAATAATTTAATGTTAGTTATTTGAGCAAATTTTAATCTTTAAAGGTTTTTAGTGTATTAACAGTATGATTATTTTACTGAGATTTGAATAAGTAAATAACTTCAGGGAATCTAAATTTGAGTCGGAATATTTTTTCTGTACTGACATGAAGAATACGTACACGGGTCTTAGGGGGATGCCTATTATGGCCCTAGCCTGTGAAGATCGGCATGATTGGTTAATTAGGTTTGTGGGATAACTAGCAGAAATTTTCTCCCATATGCAAACAGTAGCAACAAATTGCAATGTTTGAGCAGCCGCATTCCATTGGGCTAATCTATTTCATTGTAATTCTTTCTACAGCCTTGCAGAGGCACTATGCAGTTTTACAAGCTCTGGCGCTGGATGAAGATGAATTGCCTGATATTAAGGATGAAACTCTTCCAGATGAAGAAGGGTTGGCCAGGTAATAATATGGACATAATATTCCTTCAGATCATTTTCTGTAATTTTGTCCATGGTGGTGTTGCGGCTTCTATCATCTGGATATTGATCTCATGATAATTTTTGCTTTCTTTGGAAGGCCGGCTATCGTGAAAGCATTAGAAGAATTCAAACTTTCCGTGAATGGGGGGGAGCAGGACGATGACTTGGTGGACAGTGGAAAAACAAGCGACACCTCCAAGAAAAGGAAAGCAATTTCCGATAACGCGAAAATGGAATACGCAAATTATGACTGGTCTGATCTTGCAGATAGTGGGAAGGTGACATTGGTCTTTACTAATCTGTTGATTGCATTACTAAAATAAGCAAAGAAAAGGAAGATATATAACTTGGGCTTCTTAAAGAAAGATATTCAAATTCATGGGCTAGATATTTCAGAGAAATATTTTAGATGATATTCAAAGAGGATAATTCAGAATTCTAACCTCATTGACTCCTATGACCGGGAAGGGTGTAATAGGAGTTGAAAAAAGGAATACCTGGTTTGGATCCACAGTTCTTCCTTTTATATAGGAAATTCAGCTCGTCAAATTTGAATCATGCATGCATTATGTGTTTGTTTTCTTTGCAAATTATCGTAGTTCCTTTATCTTTCATGATCTGGAGTTTGAAGTACTCCTAATATTTGGCAGTTGAAGGAGTTGACTGTGGCAGAGCTTAAATACTACTTGGCAGCGCACAACCTGCCAGTCACCGGAAAAAAGGAAGCTCTGATCAGCAGGATCTTAACTCACATGGGGAAATGAATA